GTAGAGGAAACATGAGACTGGAGACTGGACTGATGTCAGGAAGCCTCTGTTTGAGGCTCGGTCTGCCACTCCCTAACTTTGTGACTTTGGCCAAAACATTTGATCTCTCTGAGCCTCAGTTTCCTTATTTATAAGATGGAAACAATAGTGTCTCCCTTACGGAGCTGCCATGGGCATCAAGGGAGAAAAGGGATATAAAAGCAGGTTGTAGGATGTGTTCTATAAATACTGAATATTAAGGTGATCCCTCACTTTAACTCCCGGTGACAAAGGAGTATTGCCTTCACACCTACTAAAATGCATCCTCTTCTCTCCGACGCTCAGTCTGCCCTCTGCAGGACTGTACGCAGCTGATCACAGCCTCAGTCCCTTGATACTCTCTGCCTCTCTTTAACCTGCTCTCCTCTATTCTGCCTGGCCCATCTGCCTGGGTGTCCAGGACAGGTATTCATTCAGTTCTATTCCTGGTTCTTTTCCTCTTCATCTACTTGCCCTTTACTGAGTGTCTTACGTGCTCCCATCCCATTATTATGTTGCTGACATCCCCACTCACACCTTCAGCTTTGGCTTCCTCCCCCTCTCAGCTATTCTCCCTCCATCTGCCTGTTCCCACAGGCACTTCAAATTCACCATGGGCAAAACTAAAGCCTTAAGTTGCTTCTCTTCTTATGTTCTCTTTCTTACTGAAAACACCACCTTTTCTCTAAATACTTGGGTTACAAACCTAGAAATCATTTATTACTATTTCCTTATTGAAACATCTACTATGTATGCCCAATACTACTCCAGGTACTTTGCATTTTTGATTTGCTTTAGTCCTTGAATGAGCCCCATGAAGTAGATCCTACTTCATTCTATCTTACAAAGCTGGATTCTGAGGTTCACAGAGCTTAAATAACTTTGAGCCTAAGGTCCCATGGCTAATAAATGATGGAATTGCAACTCAAAAATAGGCTTGTCTGACTCCAAAGTCCATTTTATTAACCTGAATCACATACTCCATTAATTTCTTCATGAATTCCCATATATTAATATAATTGATTAATTAATATAATTGATAAATTAATATAATTGATATAATTGATTTTTTTATTTTAATTTTTTTTTTTTTGAGACACTCTGTTGCCCAGGCTAGAGTGCCATGGTATCAGCCTAGTTCACAGCAACCTAAAACTCCTGGGCTCAAGTAATCCTTCTGCCTCAGCCTCCTGAGCAGCTGGGACTACAGGCATGCACCACCATGCCCAGCTAATTTTTTCTATATAATTTTAGTTGGTCAATTAATTTCTTTCTATTTTTAGTAGAGACAGGGTCTTGCTCTTGCTCAGGCTGGTTTCAACCTCCTTACCTTGAGCAATACTCCCACCTCAGCCTCCCAGAGTGCTAGGATTACAGGCATGAGCCACCGAACCCGGCCTAATTCTTTATAATTTTATCACTGAAATGTCTCTTGATTGAATTCTTTCCCTTCTTGGTTCACTGCTGCAAGCTTGTTCAGGCTTTCATATATATATATATTTTTTTTTTTTTTTTTCCAGAAAAGACTGGGATTCTTTATTAAATCAGCAAACTCATATTCTTCAAGCTCCAGGCCATGGAGGGCAGCCCTCCCTTCTCTGTCCCCACATCCCTTAGCCACAGTGAAGGGAATGGAAAATGAGAAGCCACAAGGGCCTCTGCCAGAGAAGGCTGCCCCAGATGTGTGGTGAGTGCAGTCCAGCTGTGGCTGGGGTGGCAGCTGCCACAGGCTCCTCCCTACAAATTAAGTCCCTGCAGCCACAGCTGTGGGAGAGGCATACCTGTAGAAGGCAGTATCCCTGACTCCCAGCCAAGGAATGGGTTGAGGGCACAGAGCTCAGGGGCAGGAGAGGCCAGAGGGAAAGAGGACAGGCATGGGGGCAGGGGGAGAGGTCCCCAAATTTTGGTCCCAGGGGAAAAGAAGAGGCCAGCTGGGCCAGTTTTGATGGGTGTGGGGGAGGGAATGTATTAGTAAGCACAGGGGAGAGGCTGCCATCGAGCACCCCAGAAGTGACAGGACAGGCTGTATCCTCACCCTGGCAGAGGGGAGCTTGAGAGCTCAGGGAACATCACTGCTAAAATATATATACACATATATATTAACCATTCATGGGAAGTCAGGGGCAGAGGTGGGATCAGAGGATCTAGCGTGGCATCCCGTAGCCAGTCATGCCTGCCTGAGACGCCCCGCGGTTGGTGCCCATCTGTAACCCAATCACGTTCTTGCCCTCTTGCAGCTGGTTGTCTGAGAAGTTCCGCGGGTTCTCCTTGGATTTCTTAGGGAACCAATTGGGATCCCCAGAGAAGAGCCCATCATCCCGAGCTACCGCCAGCCCACCCAGGTTCAACAGGGTCCGCTGCACACAGCCCATGTTCTTTCCTTCCCAGAGGTCCACAGTTTGGAAGATGTCAGTGGTGTTAATGCCGTAGCGCTCAGCCGCTTGTAGGAATTGAGAGATCTGCTCCATCTGCTTGAAGGCCATGGTGGAGGCCTGGATCTTCTTTACTGGGGCCTGCCCCTCGGGGTACAGTCCATTAATGAGCTCACACAGCACCGTGCCATCCTTAAGCCAGTTCTGGAAGTTCTCACGCCCAGGCTGGGGCCGGCCCACATCTTTTTGGCACTGGGCGGTGATCCACTGGATCAAGACCTGCTCCAGGTCTGCATCATACTGTTTCTCAATCTTCTGCTGCACCTCCCGGCTCAGACCATACGAAGGTCCCCTGTTGGCCATTCCAAAGGGTAGTAGTACCTGTGGGGAGCGTTCGGGCGGGCTGCACGCTCAAGGCTGGGTCTGCGGCGGTCTTTCATATATATTTAGATGTATGCACACAGGTGTTTTTTCTAATTATCAATGTGATATACACCATTATAAGAAAATCCATTATATACCCAGATAGTGAAAGTTCCCTAATCTCAACTTCTGCATTAAATCAACATTAACAGTATACTGTACATTCTTCAATTTTTTTCTATGTATACATTGGTATATCATGCTTTATTAAATGCAATCACACCATTTTGAAATTCACTTTTCTATTATTTATTTATTTATTTATTTATTTTGAGACAGAGTCTTGCTTTGTTGCCCAGGCTAGAGTAAGTGCCGTGGCGTCAGCCTCACTCACAGCAACCTCAAACTCCTGGGCTCAAGCAATCCTTCTGCCTCAGGCTCCCGGGTAGCTGGAACTACAGGCATGTGCCACCATGCCCAGCTAATTTTTTCTATATATATTAGTTGGACAATTAATTTCTATTTATAGTAGAGACGGGGGTCTTGCTCTTGCTCAGGCTGGTTTCGAACTCCTGACCTCGAGCAATCACGCCCGCCTCGGCCTCCCAGAGTGCTAGGATTACAGGCATGAGCACTGCGCCCCGGCCTTGCTGGCAATGTATTAACAGTTTCTATACTCCACACAAATGTGAGTTCCTCAAGGGCAAGGGCAAGGGCGGTATTCATATTCCTCTTTGTATCCTCTTAGCCTAGCCCCCTGCCCTTGGCCCAGAGTATGGGATCACCAAGCTGGAGTGTAATAATTGACTCGCCCGCGCTGAGTTCTGGAATCTAGTGTGGGGAGGCGGAGCGAGGTGAAAGCCATGCCCCTTTGGGCAGTCCCGGCCTCAGCGTGCCCGGAACTGTTGTTGAAAGGATCGTTGTTTCTCAGGGAGGATTTTGGCCGCAAAATGTGCCCCGCACAAACATGGCTGCCACGCACCGGAAGTAGCTATTATTTTGCAGGAGGCAGTTCTTCCGCGGGGCGGAAAAGGCGTGTCTGTAAGTGAACTGACCATTTCCAGTCCCCCTTCCTTGTAGGACCCTCATGAGTAAGCTGTGGCGGCGCGGGAGCTCCTCTGGGGTTATGGAGGCCCCTGAGCCGGGTAAGTGTAGGTAGATCAAGCAATTTAGGCCTTCTTAGAAAAGAAGTTCCTTTCTCGCTCCTTGGAGCTTCCAGGATAATTCGCCACAAGAGGGAAGGAGAAAGGCAGTGCTGTTGTTATGGTAACAGCTAGTACCGCGGGTAGGGTGGGATCCCTCAGGGGTATTAGGTTATTCCTGGCTTCCCCTGCCACCCTGCAGCCGAACACTCGACAGGTCCTCCTTCCGCAGGGGAAGCCCTGGAGTTGAGCCTGGCGGGTGCCCACGGCCACGGAGTGCACAAGAAGAAGCACAAGAAGCACAAGAAAAAACACAAGAAGAAACACCACCAGGAAGAGGAGGCCGGGCCCACGCAGCCATCTCCCGCGAAGCCCCAGCTCAAACTTAAAATCAAGCTGGGCGGGCAGGTCCTGGGCACCAAGAGGTGAGGCCAAGAGGGTCAAGGTTTTACTTGGGGAATTTTAGGAGCAGGGAGAGGTAGAAGTTAGAAGCCGACTAGGCTTTCTAGAAGACAGAATGAACACTGACTTAAAGGCCCAGGTTTAGGCAGCAAGAACCCAAGAGGGTAGGGAAGGCTGGATGTAGCTACTGAACAGAAGGAGGAGACACTTGCTCAGTTTACAGAGTAGTATTGCTTCTCTGCAGTGTTCCTACCTTCACTGTGATCCCAGAGGGGCCTCGCTCACCCTCTCCTCTTATGGTTGTGGATAATGAAGAGGAACCTATGGAAGGAGTCCCCCTTGAACAGTACCGTGCCTGGCTGGGTGAGAAGGATCTGGAGGTGGGGAAACTGGGTTTCTCCTTATACCTGGCTAAGAGAAGGGGGTGGTTCTGAAGTGGGTTAGAATTTTGAATATCCCAGTATTAACTTGGCCAAATTAGGGTGTTCCATCTGAACAATTTTATTTTTATCTCTCTAACTTTCCTTCTCAGATGAAGACAGTAATCTGTCCCCCTCCCCACTTCGGGACCTGTCAGGGGGGATAGGGGGTCAGGAGGAAGAGGAGGAACAGAGGTGGCTGGATGCCCTGGAGAAGGGGGAGCTAGATGACAATGGAGATCTCAAGAAGGAGATCAATGAGCGGCTGCTCACTGCTCGACAAGTAAGTTGGTTCATTGTTTATTCACTCACCAAATATATAGAGTATTGAGAACTTTCCATGTCCTAAGCACTTTGCTTGTCAGTGGGGATATGAGTGGTGGAAAAAAGACAGGCAAGGTTTTTTTTTTCTCATAGAGTGGGTATTCTAGTGTATGTGTTTGGGAGAGTGAATAAGCAATTTCAAAAAGCTGTAGGGTTCATGACAAAAATAAAATTGAGTGATGAAATAGAAAGAGGCAGCAGAGAGATATTAGGTAAGGGTAGTCAGAAGGCCTCTCTGAAGATACATTTCCGGTGCTAGAGGAGCTTTTCAGGCAGAGAGTACAGCAGGTGCAAAGACCCTGGGACTGGAACATGCCTAGCAGGGTAAAAGCAGAAAAAGTGTGGTTAAGCCACTGAATGGCTGTATGCAGAGAAGTGACAGATTTTATTTACATTTCAATAGATTACTCTGGCTTCAATGTGGAAAATGTCTTTAGGGGTAAGTGACAGAAACAGGGAGACCAGCTAGGAAACTGGTGAAGTAGTCAGTTCAGAGATGGTGATAGCTGGAATCAAGATGAAAGTAGTGGAGATGGAGAAAATCAGATGAACTCTGAGTGTATTTTGGAAGTAGATAATTGTTGGGAGGGGAGTGGATTAAAAAGGAATTGAAGTTAACCCTGAGTTTTTGGCTTCAGCCAAAATTATCCAACTGGTGCTTATCTTATTGAGATAAGATTAACAACCACCACCTCTTCAGAGAGAGGTAACAGAGTTTTAGTACACAGGGCAGGCAGGTAACATTAATGATGTCTTCCCCTTTGAGAGTCAAGGACCTAGAGCTGAATGTCAGGAGACCTGGGTGGAGGCAGTATTAACGGCCCCTGAAGGGTGCTCATTAATAACCTTTCTCCCAAAGCCTGCGCTGCTCAAGACACTGCCTTGCATGTCCCCTCTTCCCCCTCTCCCTATCTTGCAGATCACGGCTTTCTGCCTTCCATTTTCAGACACCACCCCATCTCTGTCTTTCCCCAGCGAGCCCTGCTGCAGAAGGCGAGGAGTCAGCCTTCCCCGATGCTGCCGCTGCCTGTGGCAGGTGGTTGTCCAGCCCCCGCCCTCACCGAGGAGATGCTGCTGAAGCGCGAGGAGCGGGCGCGGAAGCGGCGGCTGCAGGCGGCACGGAGGGCAGAGGAGCACAAGAACCAGACTATCGAGCGCCTCACCAAGACTGCGGCGCCCAGCGGGCGGGGAGGCCGGGGAGCTGCAAGGGGCGAGCGGCGGGGAGGGCGGGCCGCGGCCCCGGCCCCCATGGTGCGCTACAGCAGTGGAGCCCAGGGTTCCACCCTTTCCTTCCCACCTGGCGTCCCCGCCCCCGCGGCACTGTCTCAGCGGCCATCCCCGTCAGGCCCTCCTCCGCGCTGCTCTGTCCCGGGCTGCCCCCACCCGCGTCGTTACGCCTGTTCCCGCACGGGCCAGGCGCTCTGCAGTCTTCAGTGCTACCGCATCAATCTGCAGATGCGGCTGGGGGGGCCCGAAGGCCCAGGATCCCCCCTTTTGGCTACTTAAGGCCCTTACTTAACCTGGACTCTGCGCCCTCTCGTATGCCCCGTTTTCAGTGTCTTCCCCACCCTATTAAATTTCATCCGGTGCTTGGACTTGAACAGAATTGGGGGAGTGGGATATGGGCCGACCAATCTCTGGCATACACATCTTGCCGGGATCAGAGCTCGCGTCGACGCCTGCGGCTTGGAAACGGCCCGGTTGCGCTCAGACTCGGGCTGACGACTTTAGGGACACCGCCTCTTCCAGCGGGATTACCTGGCGTGGTCCGGCTTTTGGCGTAATGCCGAAAATATGGCTCAAGCCAATCAGCAGGAACGTTGCTCTTCTGGAAGGCTGTTCGTTGGTTGATAAGCCAAAGGCGGTTATGTTGTCCCTATTGGCTATTGTCGCTGTCAGTCAGGACCGGAATCGAACCTTCCCCCACTCTTTGTCTGTGCAAGCTCTTGTTGTCTGGGAGAGCGGCGGAGGCGCTGCTGCAGATTGGTCACAGGGAGAAACCTCTGGTCTGTTCTTATTGGCTCTCCCTTCGGGGGGCGATGGGGATTGGTAGGACTGGGCGGTCTGGGTCCTAGTAGGCGGAGCTCTCCCCGGATGGTAGCTCCGGCGGCGGAGTGATGGTGGCGGCCGCGAAGATGGGCCGGGCAGGGACCATGGCGGTGGCGGCAGAGGTGGCAGGGGCGGGGCAGCCGGCGGTAGAGGAGGCTGTGGTCTTCAGGGGGCTGTAGGTGGAGGCATGGCTCGGGCCAGCAGCGGGAACGTCAGCGAGGAGGCCTGGGGGGCACTTCGGGCACCGCAACAGCAGGTATCCCAACAGCTCCAAAAGCTTATCACGACAGCCATTTATTTCTCTCTCCCCTTTCTTTGGCCCTTCCTTTTGGGGTTGGGGGCGGAACTTAAAGAGCCAAAGGTACTGTGAAGTTCCTAAACATGTCCCTTCCACTTTTGTCTAAACTTTGCAACGTAGATGCAGCTGACTTTGCCTGCAGTCTCATATACCCCATCCCATCGCTGCAGTAAAAGCTTGCAGTGGCTCTCCAGTGACCAGAGGCATAGTGAGGCCCCAGGGAGGCTCCCTCTATCTTGCAATAGTTATTTGTGATGTTTTTCTATGTGCCTATTGTCACGACAGAGTCCGGCAGCGTCTTCTCTTGAGGGAGCAATTTGGAGAAGAGCTGGAACCCAGACTCGCGCCTTGGATACCATCCTTTATCATCCACAGCAATCCCATCTGGTTGGGAGCACTACTCTGAGTCTCACACTGCCCCACCTTTACCCTATGGAGCCTGAGACTGAGGGGTGGAAAGACCCAGCTTGGGGATGGGGAGCAGTGGACCATGTGGGATGATGAAAGCATTTTAGCTTTGGAAATGACCTTAAACTCCTACTCATTGTCTGAGATTTTGAGGTGGCTCAGACTGTTTTTCTGGCTGTTGCCAAAATACTCCCTTAACAGAAGGCACCCTGGGGTGCTAGGCTTGAGTGTGAAGGAAGTCTCATATATACAGAACTGAAATCTCCCTCTTTGTAAATTTACATTTGTGTAGTTCTCTAGACTGACTTTTGCTATTCCAAATCATCTTCCAAGTTTACAGCCCTTCAGATATTTGAACACTCCTCTCAGCATCCCCCACTCTCCCCATCTCTCCAAGCTGAACTTGGTTCACAGGGTGGGATTGTGTATGTGCTCGCAGGAGGGAGGGGGTGGACTGTGCCTAGGGCTGGAATCTTCCTTAGTTCTAAGTGTTTCTTTGCCCCCAGCTTCGAGAGCTGTGCCCAGGAGTGAACAACCAGCCCTACCTCTGTGAGAGTGGTCACTGCTGCGGGGAGACTGGCTGCTGCACCTACTACTATGAGCTCTGGTGTGAGTCTCCAAGAGGGCTATTCTCAGGTCCCTCTGCCCACCCCCCCCCTTGGACCTCAGGATTCCAACCTTCAGTGACCCTTTTTTGCACGAGAGGTGTCTGAGTTACTCCCTCCTCACCTCTTGCAGGGTTCTGGCTGCTCTGGACTGTCCTTATCTTATTTAGCTGCTGTTGCGCCTTCCGCCACCGACGAGCTAAACTCCGGCTCCAACAACAGCAGCGGCAGCATGAGATCAACCTGTTGGCCTACCATGGGGCATGCCATGGAGCTGGTCCTGTCCCTACTGGTTCATTGCTTGACCTTCGTGAGTGACTTGAGGCTCTGGGCCTGTTACTAGTGGACCTCCTAAACCAGGACCCCAAAATCATCCCACATGCCCTTTTCCAGACATTTCAAAGCACCCTTTTCCCTAATACCAGAGACTACCATCCCATCCCTGGTTGCCATCAGCCAACCATGCCATTCTCTCCCTGCAGGCCTCCTCAGCGCCTTCAAACCCCCAGCCTACGAGGACGTGGTTCACCGACCAGGCACTCCACCACCTCCTTATACTGTGGCCTCGGGCCACCCCTTGACTGCTTCCAGTGAACGAATTTGCTGCTCCTCTGCATCCAGCTGCCCTGCCCCCTGCGAGGGAACAAATGAGGAAGGTGTTTCCTCCCACCAGAGTGCCCCCCCTCATCAGGAGGGTGAGCTTGGGGCAGGGGTAAGCCCTGCCCCCACACCACCCTCCTGTCGCTATCGTCGCCTGACTGGTGACTCAGGTATCGAGCTCTGCCCCTGTCCTGACTCCAGCGAGGGCAAGCCAGTCAAGGAGGTGAGGTCTAGTGCCACCCCAGCAGATCTGGAGGACCACTCCCTATGTGCACTGCCCCCAAATCCTGTACCCCAGGTCTCTTCCATGGGGCTGGCTTCCAGTGAAGGGGACATCCCATAAGTAGGTTAGAAAGGGTGAGTTGGTTACTTGCCCACCAGAAACAGCTCTGGTCCCAACTCCTTGGGTTCTCTTTGGCCCCTCCCCTACCCCCCAGAATCTGCCTGAAAGGGCTGGAGCCCTGAGGAGAGGGGCAGTATTTGGGGGACTGTGCTAGCTCTACCCCCCAAGACATACACAGGAGCCTTTGATCTCATTAAAGAGATGTGAACCAGCCATTTGTGGATTTCAGTGGATTAGAGCTCAATTTACTGCCTTGCACTTGACCTGACTGGGTTTGAAGGAGACAGGTAACAGCCATTTATCCCACCTTCCCTGATGACAGCAGGCATCCCTGAGGCACGGACTGAGCCAAGACCTCTTGGTGCAGCAAAGCTGGCAAAAGCAATAGTGTTTGGTGTGTTTTTTCCATTTTATTTAGAAAAATACACTCTGAATTCACATTCACCCTGGGGCTGTGTGAGCTGACAGTAAGGAGACACCTGAGATGAAATGGGGAAGGTTTGAATTACTGGTATCTGAGGGGTTGGGGCAGAAGCCAGAGACCTTGTCCCTCCAGATCCAGAATGGCATGAATGACCTAGCTCCTCTCATCCACCTCAGTAGTCTTCTGCCATGGCCAGTAAGACAAGGCTAGTCCAGCCCTGGAAAGGGCGGCAGCCCATGCCCCGCCCATCCCGATCGCTGTACTGCTCCCACAGAAACCCTGTGGCTTGGTACTGCCGCCATACATTGCCCACCACATTAGCACGGAGCTCACTGTGGAGTTTGGCAGCCTGAGCCTGGTGGGGGCCTTCCTGGTGCCCATAGTGGTGGAGTGCGCCCAAGGCCAAGTAGTTGACATTGAACCACACAGCACCCCGCCAGTAGGGAGGATCATGCTCTGAATTGCGCTGGCCATAAAAGGGGCTAGAGGCTGCAAGGGAGCGTAAACCAAAGGGGCTCCAGAGATGGCGGCTGTCAGCTAGAATGTCTAGCAGGGGCCCAAGGCGGGGTGAGTTGGGGTCCAGCAACCGCAGCAGCAAGGGAAAAAGACTGACATAGCCCAGCGCATCCACATGTTGCAAATGAGGCTGGGGCCTGCCCACCACCCGAACCAGCCCCTGAGGGGGCCTAGGCTTCAGCTGTATGGCTTTTGTGTGGTTCCCATAGTCTGCAAAGAACCCTAGCTCTGGGGCCCAGTGCAGCTTATCCAGACTCTCCTCTGCCTCCAGTGAGGCAGCCAGTGGGCCCAGCTCAGCAGCCACCTCAGCCTCCCCCAGATGTTCTGCCAGCCGTGTCAGCACACGGGCACCTAGTGCCACCCAGCATCGTAGGTCCAGGTGACGCTCAGTGACTGAAGGATGTGAAGCCCGGGGGTAGTCATCCAGCCCTGAGGGCAGTGTCTTGGGGTTCAGTAGGGTTGGCAAGGCTGGGTCCCGGCCCCGCCAGCGGTAAGATAGTGGTACTGGCCCTTCCTGGCTCTGGTGGAGCCAGGAGAACCAAGCGTACAGGCGGGGAAAGGCCTTTTGGAGGAAGGCCAAGTCAGCAGGGTCACCACTCTCTAGCATGTGGGCTACAGGCAAAAGTAAGGTTGGTGGGTTAGCATGAGCTGCCCGCTGCACCAGGAATTCCGGAGGCACCCGGGCTCGGGCCTCATCCCCCAGTACCTGCTCCCGCCCAATCCAGCCATCAGCATTGAGCAGTCCCAGCCAATGACCTAGGGCTTCCCGGGTGAGGCCAGGATCCCACCGCTGGACCACCAACTGGTGAAAGCCCTCATCCCAAAGGAAGCCTCGTGGGAAGAATGACCGGGAGGGCACAGCTGTGAAAAGAGGAACAGGTGGAAAGAGGGCTGGGTCCACCTTCTGCTCAGACCCTTCCATCCCCATGTCTGGCAATACCAGACCCTGTCCGTAGAAATAGCCAATCCCACCAAGGAGGCCACTGAGGGCAGCCTGACCCAAAGTCTGCTCCCCAGGGGTCAGTCCCTTCTCCTTCAGCTTGAAGGTCTTCTCAAAGCGCTCTCTAAAGGCTTCAGCATGGCTCTCCAGGGCTTGGGTCAGTAGGTTGCCTGCCAGCTGCTCTAGGGCTTGGTTTCTTTCTGCCTGGGCACTGCCTGATTCAAATACAAACTCCAAGGAAAAGGGGACTTTCAGTGTCACCTGCTGTATCAAGAATTGCCCTTGCCCACTTGGGCCTCTGTCCTCCCACTTCAGAGATCCTGGCAAGCCGAGATAGCGTTCAGGGGAGGCTCCTGGGGGCCGATGCTGAAACCAGCTATTTAGGCGACTCTTTACCATCTCTGTCAGCAGGGGCAGTCCTGGGTTGGAGGACCAGAAGACATTGTAGCTTAAAGGGAAGAAGATAAATAGGAAATATTGTTCAAGGGAAGGTGATAGGGATTATAAAGATAAATATGAAGTGATCAGGAGTGAGGTTGAGAGGCCTTGGGCAGGGGACATGGGGACTGGTGAGAATGGAAGTAATTGGTGGAAAGGAGGTATAATGGGGGAAACAGAAATCAGGCTAAATCAGCATCCATACCACCCCTACCACCACCCCACACTCTCTTCCCTGTTACCTGCCATACTTGGGGGCAGTATCCCCTGGACTGGTTGGTGGCATAAGTGTAATGCGGAAGTCACCAAGTTCACTGGTGTGCCCACCGATGAACTTCAACTGCCCCTTCGTCCCAACCTCTGGTAGCAGGACTTCCTTGCCATCTGTCACCACATAGAAAAACAGGGAGACCAAAGGGAGGGCAGAGGTACCCGAGGCCTGGGTGACAAGGAGGACAGAAAAGAACAGCATTATATTGACATTCTCTCTGAGAATCTGCCTTAGTGAGGGAAAGGGATACCAGGCAGCAGTGATGTGGTAAACAACATAGGTATGGCAGTGTTGAGGGTCACTGAGGGTAAGCAGATACACCCAGTGGGATGAGAGAAAGAGTCCTGCACAAGGTTCTCTGGGAAATAAAGTACTTTTGTTTTATGTTCTACATTAAGAACTCTACACAGATTATTTCATTTAATCCTTACAATCCTGTGAGTTAGGTGCTATTATTATCTTTGCACATAAGGTAATAAAGGCTTAGAGATAGTAAATAAAGATGGTCAAATGGGCAATTTATGGCAAGATTTAACCAGGCAGCCAGACTCAGAGACCCTGCTGGTAACCCCCACTTCATATCATAATGCATTTGCTAGCAGCAAGGGAAAGATGGAGGGAGTCTGGGCTGAGGAAGGGGTATCCTGAGGCCCTGACCTGAGGCTCTACAGTCACTCTCCAGCTCCAGTCCCCTCCGTGCTGACCCCCAGGCCTCTTGACGAACTCAGTGGTGAGCCTTAAGGCCCCATCCTGGATGTGTTGCCGCCCGAAGGAAAGACCGTCGTGGAACTCCCAGCCATAGGGGCCCACGCCGTCCCCCTGCTCACACGTATGCCTGAGCTTAGGGGTCCCTGGGGTGGTGCCCTGCTGCGCCCACATCAGTCCTGGAGGTAGAATGACCACATAAGTCAAAGAGAGCAGGGGACCTGCCCCTCTGGGTCTCCGAGAACTTCAGGGTCATCCCTCTTTCTAACTCTCCTGATTCACTCCTCCCCACTCTTGTTCTGGCTTGAAGCTGGGGCGCCCAAATTAAAAGTCCGCCTGCCCGACCCTGGGCCCAGTTACCGGTGAGGAGGGGCCTCGGGCTGCGAGTCTTCATGCCGAAGTAGACGTGAGGGCGGTAGGTTCCCCAGAAGAGGTCTGGGGCCACTGCGGGGCTGGAGGAGTCGGGGGGCAGCGCAGGGGGTGCAGAGTGCAGCGTGACCGCCCGCCGCGCACGGTGCCACGCCAGCATCCAGCGCCCAGACAGGCCCACAGCCAAAGACAGGACCACAACGGCCAGAGCCACTCCCCCCGTCGCGCCGCGGGCCCCCCCACTGCCCCGGCCGTCCCGTCGCCCAGGGCCGCCCCTGGCCGCCCTCTGGGCTGTCCGTGCTCCATCAGCGGGGGCTGCGCGGCGCCACCGCTCGCCCCGAGCCATCCTGGCACAAAGATCGGCGTCGCGGAAGGGAGCTCCGAGAGGCGGCAGTGAAACCCGGGTCCTGCCTCGCTTCTCCGGCTGGTGCCCCTCAGCCGGGCAACCACTATCCTTGCAGCCGCACCTGCTGGCCCGCGCTTCTGTCTCCACATCCGCCTCCCGCCGGAAGTCCCGCCCCGCCACGTCAGGTTAAGTCTCCCAGCCCGGAACCGGCGTCGCCGGGGTGGCGTAGAGCTCGTCACCCTGGTCGGCCCTCCAGACTAGTCTCACCCGGTCTGCGCATATCTGGCGCGCTCATGGAGTTCCCAGGCTAGTAGATAAAACCAATCTCGTGTTGGGCTGTTTTTCTTTCTTTTTTTTAAATAACGACTATGTATTACGAACCTGAGACGCTATTCCAAGTGTTTTACATTTCACTGCCTCGCCCCAAGCAGGTGGCAGATTCCGTGGCCTAATAACTTGGACACGTGGACAAGTAACTTGGCCTTGGCCACAGAGCCGGGAAGTGAGTAGCTTTGAACCCAGATGTGTCTGAATTGGGCTGGATCACTTTGCCCACACTGGGTGCCTTCTTTCCTGGTGGAGTTGAGTGACCCCAAAAGGAAGCCTGGGATGTGGTTCCAGCTGTGACTTCAGTCATATCTCCACTGAGCCTAGAATTCCTTATCTAGATGAACCCTAAAAGGACCATAATGTTGGTGCACGTACTTACAGAAGGCAGTTCCCCTTGTAACCCAGGAAGCAAAAGAGCCTAGAGAAAGGATGACTTATGTCCAGTCAGAGACTGTAGGAAGGAGGTACCATCTATACCTCAGGGTTTGCCTAGAAGAGTCAACATTACATTTGATGGCAATTCAGAAATGCAACTTAGATTCATAGTTGCTAATTTCTCACCAACAGCCCAACATGAAAGGTATACTTCTACTTTCATAAAGTAGAAGCCCATCCCATCCTAAAAAAACAAAAGGAAAAAAGCCCTACTCTACAACTTTATGCCCCGTAGCTATTATCACACCTCTCATTCAAACTCATTACATAAAACTAATGCTTTATGCAACGTGCCCACTTATATATTTCACTATAATCTGACTTCTGGCCCCACTTTCCACTGGTAGTCTTTTTGCTCATTCAACAATCATCTTTTTGGCCGGGCATGGTGGTGGCTCACGCCTGCCTGTAATCCTAGCACTCTGGGAGGCCGAGGCGGGCGGATTGCTCAAGGTCAGGAGTTCGAAACTAGCCTGAGCAAGAGCGAGACCCCGTCTCTACTATAAATAGAAAGAAATTAATTGGCCAACTAATATATATAGAAAAAATAAGCCGGGCATGGTGGTGCATGCCTGTATTCCCAGCTACTCAGGAGGCTGAGGCAGTAGGATTGCTTGAGCCCAGGAGTTTGAGGTTGCTGTGAGCTAGGCTGATGCCACGACACTCACTCTAGCCTGGGCAACAAAGCTAGACTATGTCTCAAAAAAAATCATCTTTTTTAAATTTAAAAATTTTTTAAAAATTTTATCACAATCTAGTGTAAAGAAAATAAAAACAATTTTATTTTAGTGGACTCGGGAATAAAGGGTATTTTGTTACATGGATGAATTGTATTGTGAAGTCTAGGATTTTAGTGTGCTCCTCACCTGGACAGTGTACATTGTACCCAATAGGTAATTTTTCATCCCACACCCACCTCCTACCCCTGTTTCTGAGTCTCTAATGTCCATTGTCATTCCACAGTCATCTTCTGAACAGACTCAATGGTCAGTCCTGTTATCTTTCTTGCTACCATTGCCCTTGTGCACATCACTATTGTATCACTTATTACATACTTGAGTTTCATTATTAATCTTTGTGTCTCAATACTAATCACAGTTATAGGCACAAGGTAGATGCTAAATATTTAAAAATCCAACAAATGTTTATTCCCTCTATCAGATTACACAAAATGCTGGGGACATAGAGAAAACAGCTCCAACCTAAAGTTGACAATGTAGAAGCAGAGTGCTGGCATTTAATCCATCCCCATTTTTACAGATGAGAAAAGAGTGATTCAGACTGGCCCAAAATAACATCCAGTCTTTCCCACGGACCTGAAATCCAAGTTGTCAGTGTTCTTTCAACGTTAAATAGAATGAAACCTCTTAGATAAAAGCACTTACTATACTCCCAGCAACTTGTAGGCACTTTACAGATACTAACTCATTTAATCCTCTCAACCATCCTATCAGTTAGGTACTATCATCTTCATTTTACAAATGAGGAAACAGGCACTAATGGATTAATTTGTCCGAAAACACACAGCTACTTAAGGGTAGAGTTGGGATTTCAGCTCGAGGCAGTCTGGGTCTTTACTACATTATACTGCCTTGTGGTAGTTTTCTTTTTTAAACAGGGAGAAGAAAAACTGTCTTTTGAAGATAGCAACATTTTAGGCAGGGAAGAGGTATAGTAATGCTGTAGGAGGGTCATGAGAAATGTATTTGGCAAAGTACATAGCAGCCAATGTCTAATGTCTGGAAATCTTTCATTGTGTAGGTGAGCATTTTTTTTTTTTTTGAGACAGAGCCTCACTCTGTTGCCTTGGGTAGAGTGCAGTGGTGTCATCATAGCTTACTGAAACCTCAAACTCCTGGACTCAAGTGATCCTCTTGCCTCAGCCTCCCAAGTGTAGCTGGGACTACAGGTGTGCACCACGAAGCCCAGCTAATTTTCTGTTTTTAGTAGAGATGGGGTCTCACTCTTGCTCAGGCTGAGCTCAATCATTTTCCCACCTCAGCTTCCCAGAGTGCTAGGATTACATCCATGAGCCACCACGCCCGGCCCTAAATAAGCATTCTTCAGTTCTTCACTAAAGCAGTGATTTCAACCATTTTTCCCCCTATAACCCACAGTAAAAAATAATTCTGAACTACAACCCAGTACATGCAGATACACACAGACATATACATATTTACAGTATATATATTTCCCAAAGGAATACTTCCCATTCCATGTGCCATGCACTGATAATTTTTATTCTACTTTTTTTTCCAAAAAGGCTGATATACCCCCCTAAATTGATTTCATTACTCACACCAGTGGATGCTGAACACTTTAGGCACTGTTTTCTGAACCAGGTAGTAGTGGGAGATAAAACCAATCATGTACTTTGGAAGGATAACATTAAGCAGAAGCAAAGATGATTTGGAAAAAGCCTGGGGGGGAGAATGCAATAATGATAGAGGAGAGAGAATGGGCATGGAGAGATCATTTCAGGAGCTTTTTAAAAAGACAGAATATTCTGAACCAACTAACTAGATATGTATGCACGGAAAGGGAGAGGGCAGAACCAGAGATAACACTGTGGTTTCCAGCAAATTAAAAAATAAAAGGAATGAGAAAGTTGGGTGGGTGAAGGGGTATACACATCTTATATGTGTATATAAGATTATCAATTCTGTTTTAGACAAAGGGTGTTGGTGGGATTTGGAGGAAACTGGTAGTAGGTAACCTGACTATAGCACATAAATTGGGATTAAGGAACATTTATTCCATTTTGTAGAATTAGGATGCGGGGGGGGGGGGGGGGGGGGCGGAGTTGGGATTAGAACCAAACAGACATATAGGGTTTAACCCTAGAGAAGGCAGTTCAAATTACGACAAGAGTATGAGATGCCTCAGAAAAAATAAAGACAGAAGAAAAAGGAGAACGAGGGTGGTACACCTTACATCTTTATGGTTAAGAAAAAGGACCCAAGAGGGAGAGAGGTTTCACAAGTACTGGGTTAATTAAGAGTGGCAGATGCTACTGAGATAGAAAGGTGAGGACTAACACTCTGTCAGTCCCCCCACCCCCGCACTGGATTTGATAAATAAGAGTAAGAGGTACCTTGAGTTAGTGGTGGGGGAAGCCAAATTCAAAAGGGTTAAGCAGTGAGTAATGGTAAGAAAGTGATAAAATTCAAGTTCGTTCACACCTCTGGCAGTTTTTGTTTTGCATTCCGTAGCCCTCCAAACAGTGATTTGAATAACTAAATCAAGCTCTTCTTAAAAAACATAACTGTCCTAGTCCAAACTAAAATCTGCTTGTTGGTCTCTTCTTCGGCGCTCTCAGCGCCCAATATCAGCGCCAGGCTTGTCCCCACTCCCCGCCGCGGTCCTGGTCCGGATGTGGGAGGTGAAGGCAGTGATCATTTCCAGAGCCGTGAGGTGGGCGCCGCGCATAATCAGACGATGCCCGTCCCCTGCGGAAGAAATAAACGAGTCAGGCACCGGAGAACTGTAGGGCTGAGGGGCGCACAGGTTGCCTGTTGCCTCCTCCCGCCCGTCTCCCCACCGAGCCCACCAAATAGCACATCCACGCAGGGCTCGGAGCCGTCATGCCTCACGTCCGCAATCACCGAGCAGTTGAGATTGGTGGAGCGGACCTTCTCGCTGCTCACAGCCTGTAGGAAGGTCCTATGGGAGGAATGGCGTGAAAGACCGGCTGAGGGGGCGAAAGCGGAAGGAAGGCGTGCCTCTTCCCGCTCCCACCCTCTTCCCCCTCGTACCTCGTGGATTCCACGTTGTTTTCGAAGGGGCAGAATTGAACCCGAACCTGCTTAACCGGCCGGAGACCAACCCGAGCCAAGGCGGAGGCCATGGTTACCCCTGCTCCGGAAGGACTCACGCGGGCGGAAGTGCAACCTGTATGGCCGGCTGTGACTGCTGGGCGTGGCTTCCGCAGCCCGCTGGCCTCTGAGCTGTAGAGACTTCTGGCAGCCAGCCAGCGAGCGTGCTCTTAAACCCTCGCTCCAGGGCCCGAGGAGGAGGAGGAGGAAGGCCCGGAGGGAGAGAGGTGGTTTTGGGACAACGGACGGAGGGGCCCAATGTTATTGGTCATTAAATACTACCTATCATTATTAGTCCTCTTGTACCACGGTTAAGACCATAAATAAATAGTACAAAAACCCCCTTGCACAAAAATATATGTTTTCTGCAGCCTCTTCCCTTCCTTATCCTGCTGTGCCTGATCTAGGTTAACGTCATCTTAAATCCTGGCTGCTTCTAAGAAGAGAGCACTACTCACAACAGGGATTATCCTCCTACTAGGAGGTAAACCCCATTCAGGTAACTGAAGTATAAACATGTCGAACTCTGAGTAACCAAAGCTTAAACTGAAGGTCCTTACAGCCCAGTATTCTCAAATGACTGAAAACAGTAGTGGGTAGGGAAGTACAGGGTAATACAGCCCTTGGGACTGATTCAGGTGTAGGAAATCATTCCACCTTATGATTTAACTGTTACTTAAGTAACTCTTTTTAGCCTGGCTCCAGGGACTTAGTGAAAGTGGCATCTAGCCTCTCTGCTCTCTATTGCCTTTCCCTTTCTCTATCCCGAGATCTAACTCTCTAGCCCTCCTCCCACTCCCAGCCCTTAGATGCCTTCACTGATGAGAGACTAGGCCTGAACTTCCCAAGGATGCTGACCTTCAGCTTCCAGGCTGTGGTTCTGCTCTTTACTTTGGATTCCAGGTGCTGAAGCGATCTGGGATTTGTAGCTTTAAGTCCAGGCTTTGTGTCACTTGTGGTTCTCAGGTTTGCTTTTTTTCGAGCTCTCAATTCTAGGATTCTTTAATATGCAGTTCTAAATGTCTGGTTTTTCCAGCTGGCGGGGGAGTTCTGACTTTCTGGCTTCTGATCCCAGGCTCCTTAGGATTCGGGACTGGTCCCCAAGCAGGAAAGAAAAGGCAGGTGCCAGCTGGGGCGCTGATGCTGCCTCAGGGCAAGCCAGGCCTGCTGATTTCCCACCAGGTAAACTTCAGGGCTAGGTCCCCCTCCCCTCAGTGTGCTTAACAGCTGAGCTGTCTGGGCTGGGGATGTTCCAGGCCGGAGGGGGGTCTCCAAGTTCTCCAGGCTGTTGAGGCTGCTGCTGGGAAATTCTGTGGTCTGGACCTCATTACAAGCACCTGGTAAAGCAGGAGTGGAAGGTAGGTGGCCCATGGGGATATGCTGAAGCCAGATCAATGGTGAGGATGGGGTGTGGGTCACACAAAGCACTGAGGGAGGGGGAGTGACTCACAGCAACAGGAGGACCTCCTGTGGACTTGAGACTTGGGCAGGGGCTGCTGCAACAGGCACAGCAGGGCCCCATCCAGCTGCTGGAAGATGCTGAGCATAAGCAGAGTCTGGCGAAGATCTGAGGACAGGCCCCACTGCTCTTCTTCCAGTAACTCCCTGACCACTCCAAAGTCTCGTCTGAGCTGTAGTGCCCCCTGCAGGCTGAAGGCAGAGGTAAAATGTAGCCATTTGACCCTCCTGCCTCTTCAAACTGCCCTACTCCACCTATCCCCTCCCTTTCCCAGTTCCATTCATCCCCCTGCCACTGCTGCCTTTTCTCCCCTACCTGAACCGGATCCCATGGGTGAGGATGTGGTCAAGCCAGGCACCCAAGATGGCTGTCAGAGCCTGACTGAGGGCAGGGGCCTGGGCTTCAGGTGGCAATCCCTGCAATCCCTGTAACACAGGCTCCAGTATAGTGCGGACCACTAATCCAGCATACTCACTAGGAACACTGGGAAGTTCTAGAGTGAGAGAAGAGAAAGAAAGGACAGGATATGAGGCTATAGAAATCCATTGAACCCTTAAATGGAGTGTTTGGGAGAATCAGGTAGGATTTTGTTTTTCTTTTTTTCCCCACTTCCCAAGAGAGTAGTATTTTGGAGGGAAGGGCACATAAAGCGAAAACAAGGATGGACACAGTGGAGTGGAGCCAGAATCTGGAGGGGTTGGGACACTGTTACCCCCTTGGGGTCCTGGAAGAGGAAGCTGGGATGAGAAGTTACCAGGACAGAGACGAAGCCGCCAGTACCGACCCCGTGGCATGTGGATCTTGAAACCATGGATGGCTTGTTTGTGGCATTCTTGAGAAAAGAGACTTAGTGACTTTTCAGGCAGGAGCTGTGGGGATAAGAAGAAAGTAAAAGACGCTGATCTGTTAGGGGCTTGTCAAATTATGACAATTCTCTAAATCTGAAGTGTTCAACCTGGCATCCATAAAACCCCAGAATTGCGTGCATAGCTGTGTAGGCCTGCCCTGGGCATTTTCCAAGGAGAGATGCCATAGCTTTCATTAAGTTTTCCAAGAGGTCTAAACCTGGACCCAAATTATGAACAATTGCCCTAGGATTACCCTGCTCTCCCTAGCTTGGTTCAAAGGCTGGAAAATCCTTTAGGTCCATTTTATTCTATAGAAATTTTAAATAGGAAAAAAAGAGACTACCTCCCTCCCTCCCACCCCCAAATACCACCAGTATTCAAAAGCGCCTGCCAGAGAGCAGAGAGTGGGTCTGCATGATCTAAAGCTGGGCACAGGCTGAGGGAGGAAAGGAGAATTATAACAATTTTCTGCTTATCCTCTAGGAAGGGAAAGCAGGAAGTATATGTAGACAAGAAGCAATGACAATTTTAACATTCTGAAATTCAGGAACCTTTGGAATGTCCTTACATTGAATATTCTTGACAGCCCACTCCAGAGCAATATAAACCATAAAGCAAGAAATGGCCTAAGTGCTGGTTTTGTTTGTTTCTTTGGCTTGTTTAGTGGGTTTTGTTTTTGGAGGCAGACAACACAGCAATAAAGAGGGTTCATGCTCTCCACCCCATCTTGGAGGAGATAAATGGGGTTAATGGCAGCAGTTCTGTAAAGAAAAAAATGGATGTCAGGGAGCCTGAAGAGAGGGAAGCCCTGCAGGGCCAGAAATAGGTGGGACCCATGTGTCTCCTGCTGACAACAACCTAAATCCAGACTCTTCCTCTCTTCCCTAACAATCCTCAACCCCTTCTCCTTCCTTATTCATGCCAAGGAAATCACCCTTTTGCTAGGCACCTGTGTTCTCAACACACTGAGAGAGTACAAGCTATACAGTCTGTCTCTCTCTCTCTCTCTCTCTCTCTCTCTCTCTCTCTCTCTCACCTTAGAGTCCTGCTTGGGAGAAAAGTCACAATGCCTGACTCTTCTTTGTTATCCCAGTACTGTATTTGCTGGAGCACCCAGAAGCTCAATAGTACAATCACCAGGCAGACAAGCAAGGCATGTGGAGTCCTCTGCACAGTGTTTGGTTTACTGTCCCTGTCCCTTTTGCTCTGTACTCACCTTAAGAGCTAACCTTCCACCCTGCCCCTACAGCTAGATTAGATTTCCATCACCGTCTTCACATCTTCCATCACCTTTTGCTCTTACACTGGCTCCCCATCACTCATGAGACAAAGTCCAAATTCTTGGGGCTGAAGTTCAGTGCCCTCCACAATTTGATGCCAACTTGCTTCCTCCTCCATCCCCCACACCTCACCCTGACACACACCCTGAAACTCTGCTCTGATCAGGCCATCTCTCTACTACTCCCTCAAAGATCTATGAACTGCCCACCTCCAATAACCCTGCTGCTCCTCTGAGGCTGCCCAGCCACAGGCCTTGTATGGAGACTTCTGTAAACCACATGTTCACCATGGCCTTCCCTTCTCAGGGCTCCCACGACCATCACTGTCTGTCCTACTCATGATGAATCTGCTCTGGGGCATGTTGAGTTTAAGGAGACAGCAGTAAATTGAGGTAGGGAAATGTAGATGCTGGACAGAACTCTGGGAGCCAGAAGGGAGTTTACAGCACCCAGACGCTGGGTAAGCAGGAATACAGACAGAAAAGCAGAGTCAAGGACTGAACTCTATAGCCATGCTCCTATTCAGGGCAAAGAGGAGAGAATTGGACAGGAAGCAAAAACTAAAGAACAGATATCTTTCATAGTAGGGATAATGTGCAAAATGGGGAAAAATTAAAATAGAAGTATAACAGCTTTATTCTTAAATATAGAAGAAAAATCTTAAAACAGCCAGGTATGGATGAAGATTACCACTGTGAAAAAGGAATCGGAAGTGGGTGAGGGACAATAGAGTGCTATTTCTTCATTAGAAATCTTATAAAATATCATTCTATTTCACTTTTTATTTATTTATTTAGAGACAGAGTCTCACTCTGTTGCCCGTGCTAGAGTGCCGTGGCGTCAGCCTAGCTCACAGCAACCTCAAACTCCTAGGCTCTAGCAATCCTACTGCCTCAGCTTCCCTAGTAGCTGGGACTATAGGCATGTGCCACTATGCCCGGCTAATTTTCTTTAATATGTATATAGTTTTTAGTTGTCCAGCTAATTTCTATTTTTTTAGTAGAGACGGGGTCTCACTCTTGCTCAGGCTGATCTCAAATTCCTGAGCTCAAACAATCCGCCCGCCTCAGCCTCCCAGAGTGCTAGGATTACAGGCGTGAGCCACCACACCTGACCTATTTCACTTTTTAAACTATGGACATGCATTACTTTAATAAAAATACAAATTGAACTGGTTTGTTTTTTTTTTTTTCTTTTAGACAGGGTCTTGCTCTGTCACCTGGGGTTAGAGTGCAGTGGTATCATCATAGCTCATTGCAACATCAAACTTCTGAGCTCAAGCAATCCTCCTGTCTCAGCTTCCCAAGCGCCTGGGACTACAGGCATGTAACAACCATACCGGGCTAATTTTTTCTGTTTTTTTTTAGAGACAGGGTCTCACTCTTGCTCAGGCTGGTCTCAAACTCCTGGCCTCAAGTGATCCTCCCACCTCAGCCTCCTAAAGTGCTAGGATTACAGGCATGAGCCACTACACCTGGCCCAAATTAAACTTTTTTTTTTTGAGACAGAGTCTCACTTTGTTGCCCAGGCTAGAGTGAGTGCCGTGGCGTCAGCCTGGCTCACAGCAACCTCAATCTCCGGGGCTCAGCGATCCTACTGCCTCAGCCTCCCGAGTAGCTGGGACTACAGGCATGCACCACCATGCCCGGCTAATTTTTTTTTTTGTATATATATTTTTAGTTGGTCAATTAATTTATTTCTATTTTTGGTAGAGACGGGGTCTCGCTCAGGCTGGTTTCGAACTCCTGACCTTGAGCAATCCGCCCGCCTCGGCCTCCCAAAGTGCTAGGATTACAGGCGTGAGCCACCACGCCCAGCCCCCCAAATTAAACTTTTAAAGAGCACAGAAATGTACTGAAAACTGGTAAGTAAAGGGAAAGATGAAGTTATTTATCCTGATTTTTTTCTTTTCTTTCTCTCTCTCTCTCTTTTTGGCTAATAAAGGTCCAAACAAAGCTACTGATAGGTTTTTCTTTATAGAAATAATCCAACTAATAAATGAAGAATGAAAGGCAGACTTGGGATGTCACCCCTCTGCAGCCTCTAATGAAATAATGAATCCAGGCAATGACCAGCTGTTAACATACAAAATGAGAGTCTGACATTATGGGGGTGGGAGGGATATACAGATGAAACAAAATTGATCATGAGTTGTTAGTTGTTAAAGGTTTAGTAATGGGCATAGGGAGGTCCATTATACTCTTCTCTCTACAATTGTATATGTTTGAACTTTTCCATGGAAAAAAGTTAAATAGAACAAAAAAATGAAAAGGGCAAGAAAAGATAGATTTAGTAGAGACTCCAAGGAGATGCCAAGTTACCGAGATGTTCCACTTTCCTACTTCCACACAGAAGGAGGTCTTAAACACAGAACAGGGTCTTAAACTGCCAATGTCAGGGCTCCTGTTCTCACCTGGATCTGTGCAGTCAGCTTCTTGATTTCCAGACCCAGCTGCTGCTCCACTTCTAGAGCTGAGCTTTCCTCTGAGGCCAGGCTAGATAGAGTTTCTGCCTCATGCAATAGAAGCTTTGGGTGGAAACAGGGAATGAGGGCTCAGCTCAGCCCATGCTGCTCCCCTCCCCACTCCCCAGCCACTCACAGGTAAGTCCTTTTGGATCAGGAGCAGGAAGGAACCTGGGGCCCATGTTGCCAGGTAGTGCTGAGCTCTGCCCGACAACCACAGCAAGGTAGTCTGCAGAGTACAGAGCCCCAGGGCGATGGGTGCAGGACCTGGGCATGGGAGAAGCAGAGTATCTTAGGGGTCATGGAATGCCTTTGGGCAGAGGCAGACTTCAGAACAGAGTGAAGGAAAAAAGGATATCCTCAACTGTTCTGTCCCCCAGCCCCTTGTCTTACCTGGAGACCAACAGACGATCAGTCGTGACCGGTGTTCTCGAAGGGCATCCAAGAGAGGAGGAAAGAGCCGTTGCAAAAGTTCAGCAGTACACGAGGATGAGGGAAAGCTGCTCTGATCCCCAAGAGCTGATCCCAAGGCCTGGCAGAAACCTGAGGATGAGGGTATAGTCTAGTGGGGGGGGGGCAACCTGGGACTTGTATCACCACCACCCCCAATTCCCCTTCCTTCTCACCTTGGTCCCAGCTCCAGATAAGAGACTGATGAAGTAGACTGTGACACAAATAAGTCAGCTCCTTCTCACACTCCTGAGGCAGGGATGCTAGTGGGAGAAATGACTGGAGCCTGAAAAGAAGGCCTCACCTTCCACAACCCCTGCCCACTCAATGATGGGGCAAGAGGGGAGGCTTCTTCTAAGACTCAAGACTGGGGTGGGAAGAAGGACTTTGCCGTGAAAGCCCAGAAGCTATGGTCTAAACCCAGAGAGTGTTCATTCTAAAGGATTTTTTGCAGGCAAGCTGGCAGGTGAGGGAGCTGACTAAGGGGAGGGGAAGAGACCCCAGCCTTCCCAAACGCCCACCCAGGCCATCACTCACCCTGACCCAGTGCCTGACTCAGCTGTTGTGCTGCTGCCCTGAGGTCCCTCCAGGGTCCCAGATTTGGGTCCAGACTCTGAGCGCAAGCTCCCCACAGCAGGGTCCAATATTGGCTCCACAGGGCTCCAGCCCCTCCAAGCCCCAGGCTACTGCTGGCTGAACCCACCACTTCCCCCACCAAGCCCAGCAGCCCTGGTAGCAGCTCCCGCTCCTCATGGCACCACCTGCGGAGCTGGTCACGCAATCCCGATCTCCTGAACGCCTCACCCAGCTGACTTGCCACCTGGCAACCCCGCTCCCCTGTCAAGAGTCGGAGCACACGGGCAGGGGGGAAAGGACGCGCAGCCCCTGGGACGTGGCTCATGGCTTTTCCCTGCAGCCTGTGGTAGGCGGGAAGTGCCAGCAGCAGCTCGGCGAGTTGGGACGACAGGCGTGGGCTGGCGGGCGCCCGACCCAGAGCGCGAAGCTGCATCTCGATGGCAGTATCCAGGCGCTGGGCAGCTAGTCCAATGGGGCGCGCCAGGAGTAGCGGCTCCACAGTTTCCTGAAAGCCGATTCGCAGGGCTGCCCCTCCGGGATGGTGCAGCTGCAGGTCGCAGCACAGCTGGAGCAAAGAGCTAGGGCCGCAGGACGGTGAGCCAGGACTCGGGGTCCTCAGGATGCACACGGCCGTCTGCAGGAGGCGGGCGCAGTCCCGGGCTTGGAGGAGCTGCTGTCGCTCGTGGTGCAGCCGCAGCAACACAGCCCGGAGACGCCTCAGCACGGGAGGGATCGGGCTGCCAGCTGCGGGCTCTCCCCTCCAGTCAGCGGCATCAGCCTCGTGGTCCTCGCCTACATCCTCCAGCAACCATGGCTGTCCTCCTGGAGCTCCACCGGGCCGCGGGTGCAGACAGGGGATGCTCCTGGCAACCGGTAGCCTTGGCCAGCCACCAACCTCCCCGCGAAGAGCGCCCGCCCGCCTTCCCTCCCACTGCTCCTCCCCGGCGCCCCCGGGTTGCGCCCACAGTGGGGAAACGGTAGCGAGCGGAGGCAGAAGGCCACCAGAGCGAGACGCCTGGGCCATGGGGCGGCAAGTCCAGAACGAACCTAACGATTCCCACTTCCCCGCTCGCCCCAACGCTTGCGGTAGCCGGAACTCCGCCCCATCCCAAGAGCGGTGTTCTCTTGCCCCGGAGCCGCGGGGATCGGCATGGACTCTCTGGCGCTCCGTAATTGAAGGCTTCAGCCCCTAACAAAGATGGCCGCCTACCCTGCCCTACCCTCCGCCCTTTGGCCGGTATAAAATACTAACTAGACGGTGTTTCACTTTCGGGTCACTTTCGGTTCTCCATGGCGCCGACTCCGAAGACTGTAGGGCGAATCAAGTTAGGTGAGCGGTTTGGCAAGACGGAAGGGAGGCAAGCCCCACTTGGGTCTACCTGTGGTCTGAACACTGTCAGGATTTAATACTTCAGGTGGACGGCGGAGGGCTGTGCACCGTCCTTCCCGAGCTCCCTGACGCGGCACCGCCTTCCTTTCCTGTAGATTGCCCTCTGCGGCCTGGCTGCCCGCTGGAGGTCGCTGCTGTCCCCAAACTCTGCAAAGAATTCGGTCCAGAGGACTACGGCGAAGAGGTAAAAGGGGCTCCTGGTTTCTCCCGGTTTTGCCCATCTCGGTCACGCCCCTTTTCAATCCGCTGTTTGGAGACACACTACGGGCCGGCGCCGCGTGGGGCCCTGGGGATTTGGGGAACGCTTAGCCTCCGGCTCTGCCCCTGAGGATCTTAGGCAAGTGAGGGGCGGGGTCCGGAAGGACGATCCTGCTGTAATAAATGTTTGAAGTAGGCAGAATTGAGCAGACAAGGGTTTCTGATTTAACGATTGGGGAGGCGGTACGAGTTCCTTGGGGAAAAATATTATAAGACAGAGGGGACAGTGTGAGCAAAGACATTCATGCAAGGAAAAGTTAAGAGAACTTCAAAAAGTCAGACCAGAGTGGAAAGTTTGGTTGGAACAGTAAAGGATGGGGCAGGAGAGAAGGCAGCAAAAGGCTTGAAAGGCCTTGGCTGGCACAGGGGTTTGAATGTCCTCAAGTAGGCAATAGGGTTATTGACAGAGGGACAAGATCAGATTTGGGAGTATTGAGAAGCTATACTTCTAACTGCTTTGTGGGCATACCTAGAACCTCTAACTCAGCAAGTCCAAAAGTTAACTTATCATGTTTGCAAATTGGTTGCTTTTTCTCTAAGCCCAATTTCGATTAATAATACAAACTTCTGGCTAGGTATAGTGGCTCACACCTGTAATCCTAGCTCTGGAAGGCTGAAGCAGAAGGATTGCTTGAGCTCAGGAGTTCGAGACCAGCCTGAGCAAGAGCGAGACCCAGTCTCTACTAAAAATAGACAGAAATTAGCCAAAAACAACTAAAAAATAGAAAAAATTAGTTGGGCAGATGCCTGTAGTCCCAGCTACCTGGCAGGCTGAGGCAAGAGGATCACCTGAGCCCAGGAGTTTGAGGTTGCTGAGAGCCAGACTGATGCCTCGGCACTCTAGCCCGGGCAAGAGAATGAGATTCTGTCTCATAATAAATAAATAATACAAACTTCTATCTAGTTGCTTAATCGAGAAATCTGGGAATCATTTTATAAACTCCCTTTCCTTTACCTCATACATTTAGTCATTAAAATCTACTTCTGAAACATCTCTTGATAAAAAAAAACTCATTTCCATTCCTGCTCCTGCTGCCACTCCCTTAGTTCAAGGAATGCCACTGGCCTGAACAGTTGTAATAGCCTGCTAACTGAAAATTCCATCTAAGACTCATCTCTTTCTTCAGCACTATTTCATATGAGCGTTTCACTGCCATCACTGACAAGATAAAGTCCACACTCAGGCCAGGTGCAGTGGCCTGTAATCCAAACACTTTGGGGGGGTGCCGAGGCAGGAGGATCATTTGAGCCCAGAAATTTGAGACCAGCCTGAGCAACATAGCAAGATCCCTCCTCTACAAAAAAGTTTTAAAAATTAGTCAGGTGTGGTGGCATATGCCTATAGTTTCAGCTACTCAGGAGACTAAGGCAGGAGGATTGCTTGAGCCCAGGTATTCAAGGTTACAGTGAGCTATGATCATGCCACTGTACTTCAGCCTGGGCAACAGAGTGAGAGAGACCTTTTCTCTTAAAAAAAAAAAAAAGATAAAGTCCACACTCACTAGGTCACATGAGGTTCTTCAAACACAGTTTCTGGCTTTGTCTCTACTACAAGAACATTCTCACCAATCTCATTGTTCACTCAACACACACTTACTGAGCACCAACTGTGTGCCAAACACTTGTAGGAACTGGAAAGGCAGCAGTAAACCAAACAGGCAAAAATTCCTCTAGTCAATGAATTAGAAGTATCTAGTGGGGGCAGCCAGTCAAAGAAATAAATAAATAAACAATATAGTATGTTAAATATGAGAAGTGCCAAGAAAAGGAAGAAGGAGAATAGGGAGTGCTGAATGGAGTTTCTCCTTTTAAAAGGAGTGATCAGAAAGAAGACCTCCCTGAGAAGGTGATATTTAAGCAGAGATCTAAAGAGGTCAAAGGAGTGAGCCCATCACTGGGGAAAGAGCATTCCAGGCAGAGGCAATAACAAGTGTAGAAGCCCTGAGATGGGAGCACATTTGGTATGTTGTATGAACTTGAAAGGACACACCATGGCTGGAGAAGGGTGACAAGAAGGTGGGAGAAAATTCATGAAGATATTAGGGGACCATATCATGTTTGGCCATGTAGTGAATTGAGAGAGCAGCATAGACTGTGTTTTGGGGAGAGGTAGCAGAAGGTCAAGGAAGTCTTCCCCTCCCTCCAAGATAGCTGGACTGGCCTGAGTAAGAGGAGAGAAGTTGAAGATAAAGGAAAGACAGTAGATATTTGAGTGGCACGTCCTGAGAGGCTGCCTAAGATGGGGCCCAGAGCATGCATGATTTATGCTTAAGAACGTTGAAACAAACTCAACAGAAATTGAATTTAAGAATAAGACTGATGAAGGTGCCCAGCAGTGTAAATGAAGATGCTGTTGAGTCAGGACTACTCCTGAGGGGAGCCCTGGATCTAAAATTGTTTAGAAAGTTGAGTGTATTTTTTGGTAATCTGAAGTCCTACCTACACATTATTTTGGCACCCTGGAGTTTGTAAGTTTGTGGCTTCTAACTCAGCAAGTCCAAAAGTTAATTGGCTTCTAAAATTTCTCTGTCAGTCCTGCTCTGTTTAAGCCTGATTAGGCCACATGGAGACGTGATCTTTCCTATCCTCTGAAGCTTATACTCACTGAGAAATGACTCTCATCAGAACCATAGAATGTGTGGGTCAGGTCTTGCTTCATTTTGTGTTAGAGAATGGGGTCCAAAGAGGTTAAATGACTTGTCGAAAATCAAACAGCTAGGCAGTGGCAGAATCAAAACTCAGATGCAAGTGGCTCCACTCCAGCACTGTGCACTTTCCAGTTCCATGCTGACTTGCCAATTAAGAGAACAATAAGAAGCAATGAACAGTAAAGTTCTAAATTGTATAACACAGACTCTGTGGGTACCGCTTGGTTGAGAGGAGGCAGAGATAATTGAGGATGAAAGGGTCTGGGAAGGCTTTGAGGGGAGATGGAATTTGAACTGGACCTTGAAGGTGAGATAAGATGTGAGAAAGAGGCACAGAGCCCAGAGGGTTTGGAGGACAGCTAGGGGAAGGCCCCAAGATGGAGGGAGTCTGGTGGCAGAGGGAGGATGGCAGCTAATCAGAGGAGGATTGCAAGGGAGGGTTGGAAAGTCAGTCAGGGAGCTTTTTGGAAGTCTCCAAATCCTAGGCTGAGGAGCTGGATTCAGCCCTGCACATGGCCCTGGCAGTGGAGGATTACTGGAAATTTTTGAATAAAAGAGTAATTTCTAAGAGCTTGGTTTTGGAGAGAAACAGATGAAGTGCAGGGGAGAGGCCAGCCAGGAGCTGCTGTACTTATTTAGGTGTGAGGTAGCTTCAGGGTGGGTTATATGGGGTCATTCAAATTGCAAGATAGGACAGGGGCCTAACTGGAAGAGCAGGTAAGAGGGCTCAATTCCAGGGGCCTTGGTGTGGCTGACCTAATGGCAGGTCAAGGGGAGATGATCTGGATGGTGGAGAAGGCGGGGCTGAAAGCCACCCTCAACCCTTGGGACGGTGGAAGAGCACTGAAGGGAGGTGAAATACCATAGAAACCGGAGGCAGCAGGTTTTGAGGTGCTGAGCAGGAAGAGGTCAGAGCTGGTGGGAGTCTGTGGCCTAGGTGGCTGGTTTGTAGCTGCCATGGTGGAGAGGTCAAGCTGGCCAAGCCCTTGTTCTCTCCCAGAGCACTCCCAACACCAGCCTCCCTTCCCCTCCCCTCCCCCTCCCAGGACATAGAGGATTTTCTTCACCGGCTTGTGGAGAGTGATCCCCAGGGCCTGCACCGGATCCATGTGGATGGGAGCAGCAGGCGGCTGCAGCTGTGGCACCATGGTGGGGAGTGCAGGGGCTGGGCCCAGGGATTGAGGCTGGTACCCTGGGAGGGGCAGACCCTCAGATGCTCCTCTCTCTCATGTTCCTTTGTCTTTTCTGTCTCTTCTTCCCTCCTGACAGATTACCTCCTGGACCATTTCAGTGATGAGGGGAAAACAACTGGACAGAGTGACAGGGGCAAGGGGGCCGAGGGCCTGGGCACCTACTGTGGCTTCCACAAGTTCTTCCTATACCCTCCCCAACGGCCTGAGCCCTGCCATCAAAGCCCCTCTGCCTCAGCCTGCCCCCATGTCTCAGATAGCCTGCTTCACGTAGCCCTGCCTCAGAAGCTCCTGGTGACTGAAGAGGTGAGACTCTTAGGAACCAGCTTCATGGTCCCCCAGGTTCCTTCAGTTCCCATATTCCCATGTTTATATTCTCCCCTAACCTTTCAAGATCCTTCTATACTGCTTGCCCCCTTTTGTGTTTGCTCTCATTCTTCCTGTCTCTCTTTCCCTTTTCCTGTCACCTACCCTTCCTCTTCCAGGAAGCCAACCGTCTGGCAGAGGAGCTGGTGGCTGAGGAGGAGCGCATGAAACAGAAAGCAGAGAAGAAACGACTCAAGAAGAAGGTGGCTGGAGGGTGAAGGGAGAGGAGCCCAGAGGGATTTGGGGAAGGGAAAAAGGAAGCTTTGTGAGAACAGGAGAGAGTTCAAGGTGGCCTGCAGTGGATCCTCTTGCCGGAGGGCCCAAGGGGCTCAGGGACTGAGGGTTCTCTCCAGGCTATCTGGGGCAGTGATTCTGGAATCCTTCTGGATTCCTGGGTTGGAATCTGCCACCTTCTTACTGTGAGGTCCCTGGCTGGTGCCTCTCTTGTCTGTTTTTCACTTATAAAATGAAAATATTAATAAGAATGCCTAATTTATAGAGCTTCAGGGGTTAAATGAGATAGCACATGCAAAACTCTTACCTAAGAACATGGCATATAGTAAGTGCTCAAAATACATCATTGTCGTCATTATTGCAGCGTCAAAAGGAACGAAAGCGACAGGAACGCTTGGAGCAGGACTGTGGGGAGCCCAAGGTGAGTATCTACAGGCAGGTACTAAGAGCACCAATTGCCAGGAAGGTGGGCTAAGAAGGCAGCTCGTGGTGATCCCACCTCTGTACCTGTCTACCTTCCCTCCAGGCCAAGGCTACCACAGACGGGGATGAGAGCCCCCCATCCAGCCCCAGGAACCCAGCTCTGGGACAGTGTAGTGAGGAAGAGGTGAGACCCCCCTTCGTTCTCTTCTTGGTCTCTACTCACCCTCTCCTCCTCCTATTCCAGGATGTACTTCATCCCACTCCTGCCCTAACTTTCCCTTTTGCCCACAGGACTCACTGGATCTATCTAGTACTTTCGTGTCTCTGGCTTTGCGCAAGGTTGGGGATTGGCCCCCCAGTACCCACAGAGAGAAGGGACTAATCCAGAAGCCCCAAGGCAGGGGCCCAGGCCCCCAGAAGAAGACAGATCAAGAGGAAGGGAGCTTTCCAAGAGAGGAGAGGCCCGGGCAGAGTCCTAAGCCACAGGTGAGATAGGCAGAAGAACCTGGTTCAGCTAGAACCAGTGGAAGGGGCACCAGAGGCACTGGGAAGGCACATGATCTAAGGGTTTAGGGGTGTGTCCAGTAGGAATTTTCCAGCCCTAGGGTCAAGAGACCTGGGGTCAGGTTCCTTCACTTCACCATGACCCTTGGTAGTTTCCTCTCTAGGAAGACAGGGCTGATACCGTCTTGTAGGGCTGCCAATTGCATGAGTTGGGTGATGCTAATTGCAATGTTATCTATTTGAACAAACAAGAAGGATTTGGGGAAGTTGAGGCCTCCTCAAAGCCTACTTGACTCTGCTCTCCATCCCTAGGCATCTGCAGGACTGCTGGCAGCTGCCTTACAGCGGAGCCAGGAACTGGCAAGTGAGATCCTTTCTCTCTCCCTCCTTACCCCACCCTCCCTAGGGTAGTCCCATCTGAACCTTCCCACCTGGCTCTTTTTTGCAGAGTTTGGTACCAGCTTTGCTCAAAATGGTTTCTACCAGGAGGCTGTGGTCCTCTTCACCCAGGCCTTGAAGCTCAACCCTCAGGACCACCGGTAGGTGGCAGCTTGGCCACTGTGCTGAAAGGTCAGGGCAAGGCAGGCTGTTGAGGACCCTGACCTTTGGCCACCTTCTGTTTTTATCAGGTTATTTGGAAATCGTTCCTTCTGCCATGAGCGGCTGGGTCAGCCAGTACGGGCCCTGGCCGATGCCCAGGTGGCCCTTACCCTAAGGCCTGGCTGGCCCCGGGGCCTCTTTCGCCTGGGAAAGGCCTTGATGGGACTACAGGTAATCGGTCTAAGGCTGGAAACAAAGGAAGATTTGGGTGGGATGGGGTGGGAAGGGGGTCTACACCGGAATTTTCTAGATGAGCTCCTAGTACCACAACGTCACAATGGTAGTGGTACAGGAGCAGGGCCAGTTTGGAAAAGGGGAAAGTTTTAAGCTTCTTGACTCCCCTGACACCTATACTCTCCTCTCTCTAATCCATCTGGAACCAAAGCGCTTTGAGGAGGCAGCTGCTGTGTTCCAGGAGACGCTGAGAGGTGGGCCCCAGCCTGACGCAGCCCGGGAGCTCCACTCGTGCCTCCTCCAGCTAGCTCTGGTAAGGGAGCCAGTCCCCTCTCCTGCTGAGAGCATCGGGTAGAGCAGGCTGGGACTGCAGTGCTAAGCAGTGCCGCCTTCCGTCTTGGAAGGGGAGGGGGGCAGGAACGGTGGGATAAGGGGCCTGGGCACTGCTGCTTAGAAAGAACATCAGGTGCCCCCCCTCTCCCTTCTCAGCAGGATCATCGAGGAGGAATCTGTGCACCACCTCTATCCACTGGGGTCCCCCAGCCATTTCCCTATGCTGAGCTGGTAGCCTCAGGCCTGCTTCCCCTAAGTTGCCCTCCAAGCACTGCTCCAGGGGGCCCTGACCATCTGTCTCCACCCTTGCATTATCACCCCTGTCACCTGAGCCACCCCAGTGGGCCCCTCCCCCAGACTCACAGTACAAGACCCCCCCCCTCCATCTCCAGGACCCTTCAAAGGGCTGGAGCATCCTGGGACTTGGGCCCCAGCATCTACCTCAGGCCAGATGAGGGTGGACCTGTCCCTCATAGGGCAAGGCCATCCGTACATCCCAAAGGGATGGGGACACTGTGTGGTGACAGTTCACTGCATATTTTGAGACCTTGTACTCCAAATCCATAGCTGAGGGTACCCCTGGCAGTCATTCCTCTTGCCACAGAGAACCTTCTTGGAGAGAAAGGAGCCCCACATTCACTGAAACATCCTTTCTTTGATTCTCAAGCAGGTGGCTTCTTCTTTAGGCAGAAAAATAAAATCTGCCAAAGCTCAAGAAAGGACTCATTGACAGCTAGAGCTCTGTGCTCAGGAATGGGATCACGGCTATGAAGCCTATATCCCCACTTTCAGCTTGATGGATGCTCACCTCTTCCTGAGCCCTGTTTTCTCTAGACACAGTGCTCAGTTTGCTTCTTCTGCCCTGATTCCCGTCCACTTTGCTGTGCACACTCTGACCCCTCCTTTGTCCAGTGGTCTGATGCTCACCCCCTCCCACTGCTAGAGGATTCACCAAGGGTTTGCATTTGGGAAGTCCCTTATCAGCTCCTGCCTGCAGCTGGCAAGGCCACTTCTCTACACAACCACTGGCTCTCCCACTGAATGGGGCCTCGGCAGGCAGCCAAGCTGCTGCCACCTTGACCACTCTTTCTCCACCCCAGCACTGGGCATTGTAATCAGCCTTTCTCCACGTGAATTGACTCAGTTTTTCCACCAAGGGTCACTGCCCCAAGGAAGGCTGTAATTCTCTACTTCCTAGGTAAGAATCATGATCTTTTGATTTCTCCTCTAAGATCCTGGCAGCTCCCCCTGGCTGGTTCCTCCCTAGTCCTGCCAGGGATTCTCAGCCCATTTAAGTGTGGATTTGCAGGGGACTTTTAGCCCCCCTTCCATGCTGTTCATAGATGAACCATTCATCTAGCTGCCCTGTGGGTCCTGCTCAATACTTTTCACTCCTGGAGATAGGAGGTGTTGAAACATCTGTTTTATATAGGACTTTCCCAAGTGTTTTTATTGTTTATGCTTTAGGCCCTTTAAATACTGCATAGCAGGATGAAGTCTGCCATTACTAACTGGATCAACTTGGGCAGGTCTGTCAACATCTAAGCCTCAGTTCCCTCATCTGTAAAAATGGGGGGGGGTAATCCCTACCTCACAGGGCTGTTGTGAGGATTGAAAGTGTGAGGAAATGCCTATTAAGTGCCTGGTACATAGTGAGTGCTAAATAAACCAATTTTTATTTACAACTGTCCTACATATTCATGCTTCTCATAGTGGGAAGAGAGGAGTATGAGTAAACTGCTGCTTAAATTCACAAAATCCAGAGTTTCTGGGACTGTTGTTCTCAAGTGTGGTCTCCAGAGTAGCAGAGTCAGCATCACCCAGGAACTGGTTAAAATGCAAATTCTCAGGCCACACCCTACCCCTTCTAAGTCAGAAACTGGCAGTGGGGCCAGCAATTTGTGTTTCAGTAAGTCCCCAAGGTGATCCTGATGGATACTGTTCTAGGACCTAGCAGAGCAGACACCCATCTAGAGTCCATTTTGGTGGGACAGGTTTGAGTTTTGTTATCCAAGGCTTGAGTTCAAGAGGTGGCAGTGCTAGCTGGGCTAGAATTTAGGAAACCTCAGTGGAGGGGGATTATGGTTTGGAGCCAATTAACTTGACTGGAGCCTACCTTCCTAAGTAGAATTGTTTGCCCTGGGAGTTCTTTGCTTGTCCCTGGGTGGGGAGTGGGCTGGGGGAGAGGTGGTTGTGTTGGTTTAAGGGATGAGTACATTACAGTGGCTCTACAAGAGGCCTACCCAACTGGCCTTCACGTTCTTTGGGGGAGGGGACCTGTGTGCTTTGGGGACTTCCCTAGGGTTCCTGGCGCCTGAAAGAATGGCCACTACTATGTGGAATTTTTTCTTTAGGCTGAGCTAGCTCCTTGCTCTTCTATCTTCTCAAATAAATGTTCCCTCCCCAGCACCTCTTAGCCTCTCCTGGACTTGAATCTTCTCTAATAACCACGTGACTCCTGACACCTTGTCCCTACTCTGGCCCACTCTCACCACTCCTAATGAATGGATAGGGTTTGACCCAGCTGTCTGAGTTCCAAGTCCCCAGGACTGTACCATGATCAACCATCCTGGTTTTCCTGGGACTGAGGGATGTCCTGGGGTGTGGGACTTTCAGTGCCAAAACTGGGAAAGTGCTGGGCAAACAGGAAAGAGCTGATCACCCTACTGGAAAGGTCCTAGAGAGGCAGTCTATAGAAGGTGTGAAGGGAATAAGGGAGGGCCCCTAACAGGAGCCAGAGGTGGCCTGTTTATTGTGTATGTGTAATGAAGGGGGAAATGCAGTTGTAAAGAATATTTTTTGTACATAATGGTTGACAGATTCTTAGTTCTATACCAGTGGTCATTGTCTACTTCTATCCATGATGCTATTTTTCTTCCAGGTGTCCAGGTTTGTTAGGCTGTCACTGATTCATGCAATCCCCGGTCACTGGGGGATCACATTGATTACTCTTCTGTGGCCACCTTCCTGCCCCACCCCCAAGTCTGGCCCTGAATTCTCTCTGCTCTTTTTTTTAAGCGTATTATGGGGGTACAAGTGTTAAGGTTACTTATATTGCCCATGCCCCCCTCTCTGCTCTTTTGCAGTGGCCAGAGATATACTCCCTTCCTCAGATCTCTGCCAGTTTATGCCCACCCCACCACCATTGCATGCACAGCCAGATTAGCCTGCCCTAAACATTGCTCTCATCTCTTCTTTCTAAAACCTCTATAGGGACCATGCTCTGTCTACAGTACAATCCCTAAATTCCTACCTTTGGCCCTTTATCCTCTCCTTCCTCTGTAAATTCTCTGCTTCTTTCAGTTAGGCCCAGTCCCCTTCACAGGGACAGTTCCTGTAGTGGTGAAAAGCATGGGCTCCTGAGTCACACAAGCAAGCAAGCAAGTCCCCGCCCCGTGACTTACAAACTGCACAATGGCCAAGTTCCCTCAGGCTTCTGTGATTCAGTCTCCTTGTCCTTAAAATGAGAATAAAAGTCTGTCCTATTGGGTTATTCTGAGGATTAATCCATGCAAAGCAGTTGAAACTGCTCAATTAGTGGTAGATATTGTCTGATAATGCCAGGTTCCCTTCTGCTTCCAGCCTTGTTTACAGTCCCTGGAATATCCTTTCCTGGGCCCTCCACCTGCAACTGAGGCCCTAGCTGACCCCTCTTGAACCCCTAGAGCATCCTTGAAAGTGGAGTTGTTATCCCTGGGCACAGGCAGAGGAAGATCTGAGGACAGCCAGAGTGAGGACTGACAAGGAGGGAAGGGAAGCCCAAAAGATGTGAAGCTTGATCTCCTGCAAATTGGCTGGGATGACCAGGAATGGGGAGGGCCTGCAGGAGGGTGATTAATCGCCGGGAGAATAAATGAATGTCAGAAATGTCCCCAGGAGGAGGAGCTAGGCTAGGGTCCCTACTGGGTAAGCCTACTACTCCAAGCTTCGCCTCAGGGGGCCAGCCCTTCCCCCACTCCCGCTGCTGCCACTGTCCTGGCGGGAACATTTCCGGTCCAGGAGCCTGGTGGAGGTCTGGGAAATAGAGATGTTCCCTCTTTGGGCATCCATCACTTTGCCTATGTCCCAGTACGGGGTTCTTTTGGCAGGGCAGGGAGAAGTGTCGGGACTCCAGTAACAAATGACCTAAGGGTGAGGAGAGCCTGAAGACTCAGGCACCATGTCATCACTCTGGGCCAGCCTAGAGGTTAGGAGCAAGGTCTCCCAGGCAGTGGCTGATCAGAGGCCAGGTGGAGTCCAGCAACTAAAGGCATCCAGTAAGTGGGCTGGCCAGCTCTGGGCCAGTTGTTACCTGAGCAGTAGGTTCACAAGCACCAGCTCTGAAGGCTAGCTGGATACCAGATCCAAATCCTGACCTCTGGGTCTTTCCTTTGTAAAATGGGCATAATTATCACCTACCTTATAGAGTTGCTATGAGGATTAAAGGAAACACCGCGTTTAAAACACTGGGCACAGCGCAAAGCGCGGAATCTCTGCAATAATCCGCAGATTTTGTTGTTACTGGCTTCAGACAGGCGTCCGGACCCGGACGCAGTGCGGCGGAGTCTCAACTTTATTCTCAACAACTGGGCAAGGTGGGCATCTGAACTGCGGGCCGGCAGAGCCCTGAATGGAGCGCCTTCCTCCGCCTTGGAACTCGGATAAGGCGCAGAGTGGGGAGGTGAGGAGTCCGGGGCCCCAGAGCCCAGGGTTTGCGGCGGTTTTGTCTTCAATCATCCACCTGTATCTCCTCATCTGAGAGGTGGACCCCGGAGTCAGGTCCAGCGGTGCTGGGACTGAGGCCGGGACCGAGGCTAAGGCCTGGAACGCCGTCAGGCAGTGCCAGGTTGCACAGGACTCCCGGGGACAACGCTCGTAGCGAGGCGACGTCGGCGCGCATCTCTTCCACGTCGCGCTTGAGTTTGGCGCGCCGGTTCTGGAACCAAGTGACGACCTGCGCGTTGGCCAGTCCGAGTCGCATGGCCAGCCCGTCGCGCTCGGATGGCGCCAAGTACTTCTGAAAGACGAAGCGCCGCTCCAGCTCCAGCACCTGCTGCGCGGTGAACGCCGTGCGGGACTTGCGCCGTTTGCGGCCGGCAGGGCCAGGGCCCAGCACGTCCCGGGCTGCCAGGCCTGCAGGGATAGGGCGGGGGTCAGCCTCCAGCCTGCGGGAATCAGGAGGTGGCCTGGGAGGAAGAGCTGAGGGTGGGGTCAGGCCGGTTGCGGGCGGATTAGGGAGGAAGCCAGGAAGGCGAACAGGGACCAGAACTGTGATCCCTTACCCAGGGGCTCGGGGATCAAGCCGAGGTAAAGGTGGGGGGCGCAAAGCGGGGCGGGCTGCTGGGGTACTGGAGGCAGTAGGCTGAGGGCATGTTGCGGAGGCAAAGGAGTGAGAGAAGGGTGGGACAGGCCAGCGGAGACTTGGTACAGGGTCAGGCCGTCTGGGGTAGGGCCTTTGAGGCCTTTCGGAGCCCCAGGCTGAGAGGGCTTGCAGGCTGCGGTTGGCGTTAGAGGGGGTAAGAATAGAGGCAGCCAACTCCGCGTGGCGAGGTAACAGGACTTGGATCGTGCCCTTCCTTAGATCATGGATTGTGTTGGGCACTCGGTTTACACTTCCCTGTTGACACCGGCGCCCTCTCCTAGAGCTCAAAAGGGAAATAGTGTTGGAAAGGGAGACAGAGTAAGGAAAGGCGGAGCGTGGAGTCCCGCATCCAACCTACGCCAAAGACTTTTTTTTTTCTTTTTCTGAGACTGAGTCTCACTCTGTTGCCCGGGCTAGAGTGCAGGTGGCGTCAGCCTGGCTCACAGCAACCTCAAACTCCTGGGCTCAAGCGATTCTTCTGCCTCAGCCTCCCGGGTAGGTGGGACTACAGGTGCGCACCACTAGGCTGGCTAATTTTTTCTATTTTTAGTAGAGACAGATTCTCTCTTATTTAGGCTGGTCTCGAATTCCTGACCTCAAGCAATCCTCCCGTCTTGGCCTCCCAGAGTGTTAGTATTACAGAAGTGAGCCACCGCGCCTGAACGCTGAGGACCTTTTGCTCCCTATGCCTCTTCAAGAAGAGAGTGGCTGGGAGCAGAGCTCGGTCGCCCAGAGACACCCGAGCCTCACCTCCCAGTGCTTCTGCGCTGCCCCAGCTCTAGCTCATTCGTTAACTGCCTGCGGCTCAAGCCTTTTGTCTCCTTTTCTCCAGCCTTTGTCGCAATTGCCCCACCTACAGCGAGCAGACCAACAGGTCGCTCAATTCTCCACAGCTCGGCCCTTCCCCATGGCGCTGGCAACCTCTGGGAACGGCTGCGGAGCTGGGGGACTAACGGAGACGTGAGGGACCACAGATACGAGTCCTGGCACATGGGCTGAGGGCAGGAGGCAGGTTAGGGTGGCCGGGCCGGGTCGGGTCGGGTCGAAGGTTTGAGATGGGGAACCAGGAGGAGAGAGGTAGGGACAAGGCCAAGTCAGAGTCCTCGACTTTAGCCGTGCTATACCTTCGGAGGGCTGCAGAGCGCGCCCGTCAAGTCCGCGGAAAGTTTTACTAGTCAGCTCCTCCAGTTGGCACAGCGGCGACAAGGGACTGGGACCCGACTCTGGAAGCTGCGGCGCAGAGGGTGCTCGGGGGACTATGCGCGGGCCTAGGATGTCTGTGATGCTGAAGGGTGTCCGGGGTGTCCGTTGCTCGCGTCCCGAGTTCATGGCCAGCGGGGCTGTTGTGATGGTCCTGCTGCCGGTTGTGCTCCGCGTTAGTCTCCGCAGCCGCTTGGGTCCCAGAGCTCGGCTCCTGATCCGGGCCCCCAGCCTCGGACCCGCCCCCGGCGCTGGGCCTGAGCCCCGTGTGCCCCTCCTCCTGCGCCCCCACCTCTCCACCCCGGGCCGCGGCGGGACTGCAGCCGGTGAAAACTATGGAGCGATATTTCTATTCTACAGGCAGAATTACCCACCAGACCAGGGCTGCAGGGCACCGCCGGGTGTACACTCCAGCTGGGCCCATTTCCCCAGACTCCATGTGCCGCCGACTCCCCGCCTAGCCGCCGCTCCGGCTCATAAACCCGTGGGCGATAAAATTGCTTTTCTCGTTTCCCTTTGACTGGGGATTTGCAAAGTTCCGAAGAGAGGGATCAGGACTGACTGTGCTAGGATCCCTGATCCCAGCTACGACCTCAGTCTCCTAACCTGGCCCCTTTTTCCCCAACCCAACCCTGCGAAAAGCTCTTAAAGAGGCTGATTCGTGCCTCAAGGGG